TGGCTGCCAATGGCATGCCTCTTTCTTTCTCGTCTTTAATCGACGTACCTCTCCATCTTGGTTTCTCCGAATTTCGCCATCATTTTTATGTTTGTGTGGATATTCAGTGGCAGGGAATTCTAGGGGCCGATCTCCTCTACGCTCATGGGTGTTGCATCGACTTTGCTACCTGTCAGCTCAGGCCTACTACAACCACGGTTCCCTTTTATTTCCCTAATGCCTCATTGCAGCAGCCCGAGTGTGAGTCAGTATGTTATATCCTTCCCCAGCCGTCCGATCTGGCGCGTCTAGTTCCTGATTCCCCTGATTACTCTTTCGAGCAGTAGCTGCTGTGCGTGACCTTATCCGTCGCAACTCATCTGCCTTTGAATGGGATGGTGAACCCTTGGGTAGAACTAATATCCTGCAACACACCATCGACACGGGTTCGTCCAGGCCAATTCATCAACCCCCTCGCCGGATATCGGTCCATTTCCAGAAGCAGTTAGAGGAGGCCATTAAGGATATGTTGGCCAAGCACGTAATTCATCCGTCGTCCTCCCCTTGGGCCTCTCCTATCGTTCTGGTTAAGAAGAAGGATGGCTCATTACGACTTTGTGTCGACTACCGCAAGCTGAACGCCGTCACGGTGAAAGATTCTCCCCCGCTCCCTCGCATTGATAGTACTTTGGAAGCGCTGGCCGGGGCTGCCTGTTTCTCGACACTGGATTCACAGTCTGGTTATTGGCAGGTGGAAATGGCGCCCGAAGATCGGCCAAAGGCTGCCTTTGCCATTCCCTCGGGGTTATATGAGTTTGAGACCACGCCCTTTGGGTTGGTGAACGTGCCTGCGACTTTTCAACGCCTGATGGCGTCGGTCCGCGTGTCTTTTTACCTGGATGATGACATCGTCCACGGTGGAGTCCCACCTTGCCCATCTCCAGACCATTTTTAATCGTCTCCAGGCCGTCGGTCTTAAACTGAACCCATCGAAATGCTGCTTCTTGAAGAGCTCGGTTCCCTTTTTGGGTCACATTGTCTCTACTAACGGCGTTAAGACCGATCCGCTAAAATTGAGCAAATCCAACACTAGCCACAGCCTACGTGTGTCTCTGAACTGCGTAGTTTTCTTGGTCTAGCTTCCTATTACCGCCGGTTTATTAAAGATTTTGCGCGTATCGCGGCCCCCTCACACCGGCTTATGTGCAATGATGCCGTGTTCAACTGGTCTAAGGAATGTGCTAGCTCATTTTAGGGGCTCAAACGTCTTCTTACCTCACCCCCGCTGTTGGCGTTCCCAACATTTCGGACTCAGCCCCTTCTTTTAGCTTGGACACAGACGCTTTTGATGTGGCCATTGGGGCGGTCCTTTCGCAACAGCAGGCGGACGGACTCGAGCATTCTCTCCTTTTTGCCAGTCAGCCCCTCTCTAAGGCCGAAAGAAATTATTCTACCACTCGGAAAAAACTTCTTGCCGTCTTGACTTTTGTTAGGAAGTTCCACCACTATTCTGCCGGCAAATCGTTCATAATACGCACCGACCATCAGGCGTTGCGCTGGTTGGAGAACTTCAAGAACCCAACTGGCCAACTCACTCGGTGGCAGGCAGACCTCTCGGAGTACTCCTACACGGTCTTGCATCGCGCCAGTAAGAAACACCAAAATGCAGACGCCTTGTCCCGTCGGGCACGAACGCCATCGCCGCCAGATGTCCCAGCGACTGCAATTGCGATTGGAAATTCGGATCGCTCACAGTGGGCTTCAGCCCAGGCCGCAGACCCATTTATATATACTTGATTTACAATCGGATTCGCAATGGTGCTACGAAACCGTCAAGTGAGGAAATGAGGGGCTCTAGTTGGAAAACCCGCTGCCTTTGTTCAACATGGAACAGCCTTCGCCTCTGCGACGACGTTCTTTATCTCCAATTTTCCGATACTGACCCCCCACCACTTGATTTTACCTTACGATACGATTAACCCCACAGTTTCGGGTCTTCACAGTGAACTGGGTCACGCCGGCCGCACCGACATCGCCGCAAGAAAAAGGTTTCGGTGTCCAAATCAACGCCGGATCATTCAGGATATCTGTAACATCTGTCCTAACCCATCCTATCGTGCGCCACTCCAGCCCATTCAGGCAGGCTATCCTAACGAGATTGTTGGCGTGGACCTGATGGACCCTATGTCCCCAACTGAGCAAGGAAACCGCTACATTCTTGTTCTAGTTGACTTTTTCACCAAGTGGTGCGAGGCAGTGTCCATCCCCGAGGCCGACGGTGATGTAGTTGCGAGCACAATTCTTAACCTGTATCTACACATGCCACCAACGCCCCCCTCCATATTCGGCTTTTTAATAGGATCGCAACCAGAAAAACGCCTGACGTACCTCGAGCTAGCTCCTGTGTTGGTCCGGAGCGTTGACCACACAGTAAACTAAGGGGGCTCTAGATGTTGGCATACACGTGAAAATACATTGCTTATAGTGTAAAAGAATAACAGAAGTGTGTAACGGCTTTGTGAAGACTCCAATCTGCTGCCTAGAGAAAAAACGTGTAAATCAATAATCAGCAAATACAGTAGACTGCCTATCTCATCAAATATCGGCGAAAATTCTGAAGTGTTTTCGATTCACATTTCATTCATGTCAGGATGCCGGCTTTTGAAGGAGCTTCTTTCCGGCTGACTACTTAAACAACACTTCATAAAAAAGGCTACTTAGGTTGCATGCATTTTTCTCATTGATTTTCAGTGTGCTTATAAATGAGGATATATTTTATAACAGACCTATACGAAAATATCCTTTCCGAATAGTTTTGGCTCTATATGTCGTTACACTTGTATTGGGAGTTCTAAACTACATGCTGTACAAATTCCATCCGAGGAAAATTGGAAGTTCTCTATGCTATGAAGAAAACGTCACATGGTGTCCACAAAATGCTAAATTAATATGGACCATGTTGTACACTTTGTGATTCGCATTTATAAATGGTCACAGACAAGGGTTCAACAAGCGACATATTATGACCTTAAATAAACTCATAGGTAGGAAGTTTGTTAAAGCACAAAAATAGTGTTTCTTCAATTATACAGTTTAAAGACGACACAGTGTGTTGCCAAATGAGTACAAAACAATATTTTCGTGCATGGTCTCTATAAAATATATTTGAATATAATTGGGCATCGAAAATAACTGAGCAAATTGCATACCATTTTAACAGTTTTGTAGTGTTGTTTTTCCAGGCATCTTGAAGCGAGGATTACGCTGCGTGCAAAAATTGCAACTATACCTCAGTAATTTGTTTCGAATCGAAAACACAGCAGTTTCAGTTTTTCATCTTATAAGAGGCAATCTACTGTATCATCGACCGAGACTACGGGGACTGCAAATACCATTTCTGGTGCATTTACTGTGAACTTGGGGCACAAAAAGCCCATGCTAGCTGGTATGCGGCGATTATCGGCACAGTCGCACCACTTCCGAAATCTATTTATATGAAAATGTAAGGAGATCGTTTGAGAATTCCTACCTGCAGAACGGTTGTATCGCGAAATACAAGGGGAACAATGGGCTGCGCCGTCTCTAGAAGTTCCAGCATTGACTTAAGATGAGTGAGACCTTCCATTGAGGACGCGGGAAGAATGAGGAAGTCCTCGGTCACAGGTTCTACAGGCCCGCTGCCCTCATCCGTCTCTGGTGGTGCTGTTTCGACGTTCGACGGTTTCTGGGCGAGCGGTAAACTGGTTCTAACGAAGCCACAGACCTACAGAAACAGAAATTGGTCTGGTGACTCTTTTGTACGGCTAGGTTATGTATGAAAAAGATACAGAAAAACTTTTTAGCAGTATAATGTTGTCTCAATGAGTGCGCGCCGTAGGTACTACATTTTATTGCTGACAGCTGATTGCTGGCAGTACGGCAATGAAAGAAAAAATGTGGCAGGATTCCATCAGCCAGAAAAATTGCCAGGGCCTACTATCGATACATCAGGGAGCGTTTACTTGCTGCCTAACTTTTCCTATCTAATAGTCCGTCTGACGCACGGCAGAATGCTATCCTATTACTAATCAGTGACAGATCTCATGAAATATGTTTTGGACTAGAAAAGATAAATTAAGTGGGTTTGTACTTGTGCAGCACCATCTCATGGTATTTCAGATACACCGGGACGCCGTCCTTGGAATTTAGTCTACAGCGCACACCACGCCCACTTAATAATCAATAGTTAAGTAGTGTACACTTTTCTATCGATTTAGACGCCCTTATCAAATTTGATATATGGTATAGAGAACATGCTCAAAATATGCTCTTTTAGGCTCATCTAATAACCGCTTAAGTCTTTTTAGAATCTTATGTTTGGAAAGGCTAACGTTCGCTCTTAAAAGTATCTCATTCGATTATTTTGTGACCGTACAATGGCCGGTTAAATCGTATCATGTCTGTCCATTTATTAACGTGCCTCACATGTACGTGATATAAACACATCCATTGCAGTTTTGAGCATCATAAAATATCTCCTTAACGTCATAGAGGAATGGACGCTAGTCCTTGCAAGAAAAGCCTACAGGTTGTAGACCGAAAACTCTAAAAGTCAATACAACGGTGGATTGGGAATTGGAAAATTCTTAGAAACCCAAATATAGTTTTCTATTGAACTTAAAGTTCTAAGAGGTGATTTGCTATCAATTAAGAAGAGGAAAGGATATTTTTGTTGAAGTTTACTATGAAATACATGTAAAACAATAATGTCATTGGGATCATTGGAAACGGATGAAAAAAAAACATACTACTTAAGTCGTCATTTTTATTGGGTTCAGTTGTTGTATACGGCTGAAAAGACATGCATTTAAAAGCTGGCGCGTCTGAAATAATTTAACCCCAAAATTGTACTGAAGTAATCCTCACTAAACGGAAACGTTCGTCGAAATTTCGGCTGATAGTTCATGAGCTCAGTCGCACTATACTTATTTACATTACCAGAGGGGTTCTGTAATACTTTTCAAGAATGTTTAACGCCCACCCAGACGCAGGCTGATTCATTTTGATTATACTGGCGATAACACCCTAATGGCCTTAAGTCATGTGGGCCTACATAATCCATCCGCTGGGGAACAAGGCTACCACATTAATCGGTTTCTCCATAAATGCAGACAAAGCCGAAGGTTAGTCCGATTGTAATAAGGGTGACTAGTAATGCAAATTGCAAACTTCAGCCTGGACTAAAGCTTCACAGAATTTACTCCATGGTTGGGTGTGGAGGTAGTTTGCGAGCTGAATGTAAATGCCAGACCCTGTAGATCAGAGATGACCACAGTGGCATTATGTGTAAGGGTAAGTCCAGTGGTTTTTCCAGCATGGAAAGTTTCTTACTCTGACTTCTTCCCTTTTTTCTTCTGTACAGTGCAACGTTGTGAGCACTCTGCCAAGTGTTCATGCATAAATTCACGTGCATACCGGATAAAACCTCGGGATAAGAATCCCATGAGGGGTAATGAATGGAATTTATGTGACGAAGAAAAGTCAGATATTCACGCAAACCACAGCTAAATTTGTGCACTACACATTCGTACGCTTGCGAAGACTGTCATTGTAGCTCGCGGAAGATTTATAAAAGAGCAAGAAATTGTCCTTGGGAAAGTATAGCAAGTATTGCTACTATCAAGAAGATGGACAGCGTACGGACGTAAAAGCGTGGCAAACGAAGGCTGCAATATGACACACTTATTGCAAGTGATTCCTACGGTTTCAAACTCTTACTTATATTAAGTTAAATCGCCTAAATTATGCGCACCTTGAAAAAATCCTCCGCATACTTCACTGCCAAAAGGTCGGCTACAAATCTATTCGACACGCGGAGCCTCCGATAAACGTCGTTTTCTGGGTGGCTGATTACGTTCGACAAGATCTTCATAAAATTTTGACGTCGCTTTGCACGAACATCGATTTCTGGTTCCTCGGCAGCAGCTGCAGCATCTGTAGGTAGTTGACTGTATTCAATGGCACGTATAAGGAGGAGCGTGGTGGCTTCGGAAGGATTATTAGTGGTCTCACCAAGGAGGTGTTGTTCAATGGCAGAGTCCACCTCGGAATAAGAACCAGTAAACTCATCGCCAAGGATGGCAGGGTGGCAGAATAGGACTCCTAAAACAGACCGAAAATGAAGCCTTTAACGGCTAAGGACATTGTTTTCTAAATTATAATTTTGCATATTTGCTATCAGTCACTGAACTAAAAAAAATACGAGACAGTTAAGTGGATGCAGAAAACAATAATAAGATACTATAAGATGTGAACTGCCTCAGAGAACACTGACAGTCGCGACGTGACTGATAGCATCCGTCACAATACCCGCGCGATTGGGTGCTCGATAAGGTGACTACGCGCCTGCTTAAGACCCCGGCGATATTACAGGCCGACTGAGACTTCGTTTTAGACTATCGTCGGTTGTGATTTGGGGTCGTTAGCTGTTATTGAGTAGGTGAAAACTCGCGATTTGACTTTTGCTGCTGTCCCGAGTTTTACAGTTTACTGACCGTGCCGTTTGTATATTTTTAAGTATACCAGGTGTCCTAAAGACAAGAAAAGACCGACACCACTTATTGATAATTCGACAGTCGGTTTCGACGATATCCACTACGAGCTTCAACGAGTTAAAGTACGCGGTGACTATAGCTGATTATAGTGAAGGCAAACACGCTGGGTCTACCCCATTGTCTGACCACCCCCGCACCGGGGACCAGTGTCAAGACAGAGTCAAGAAAGCCGGAAATGCGGGAGGGCCCAGACGGCTGACGCGACAAACACTCAATACGCATACCAAACAGCATGTCTCGCTAGGTATATTCCCGACAAGGAGCGCCATAAAGGCCCCATTAAGAAAGGGCCATTTAGCACAGAGTTGAAGGATACACAGAAAGGTTATGAGCATCTGGATCTTGGTATTTACGGACACTGTTAGACGAAATATACTCCGCGGTCCATGGCGGAAATACACCTCGTATAAGTGGACTCCAATTAATGCGTCAACAGCGTGTGTTGCTTTACCCCCACCATTAAGCACTACCATTAGTCATTTCTGGCTGAAGCTTCTCTGGACAGCAAGGAGCTTAAGAGAAAATTCACAAATCCCCAGTCATTAGACGACGCTGGAAGATAGAAGTGGATCCCTAGTAGCAAATATTCTGAATATGTAAGCCAGAAAAGCAGGATCCAGCCAGCAATTAAAGGTTGAAGTGGAGGAGAAAGATTTTAAAAATGAAAAATTTCTCACGCTTTAAGATTTCGCTTTTCTCCTGTATGGTCTGTGAGGAAGAAAACCGGGCAGCCAGCTCCTCAGCCTCCTTCAGTTGCGCATTCAAAGCTCTTCTTTCTGCGTCTAAAGGAGAAATCGCACGTTCTAAGGAGGAAAATAACACGAACAATTTGTACTTGCAGGTGCTTTCTTGGCAGCGATCCGCGTCAAAGCTGCTTCAGCAGCCCTAGAGGCTTCCTCTGATGGACCTGGACATACAGCTCTGGGTGTGTGGTCACTAGCTCTGTTCGTTAATGGCCTTGGTGTATCAGGTTCGGTAAGTGTATGTCCTGGGCCTAGTCGGCTAAATTTTTTATCAAGTATTTTTTTCTGAAAAAAACCCTTGAGGCCCGACATTATCAAAAAGCAGCAAAATTAGGATTTGCTAGTCACACAAGCTGCGGCCAACGCTTAGCACCACGCCACATCTGCACAGCCAAGTAACTAACAAAATAAAGTCAACTGACAAATACGTATAATCGGTAATTCCTCAGCAGCTTACTACAATTACATAGAGAAACATTATTTGAGCTATGGATGGAGATGATGTACGTATAAAGCTATGTTTTCGTCCCACTCTTCTTACATTTTGGAATCAGTGTCTTGAGTACGTTGGAGCCGGGGGTATGGAGAGCGGATTCTGGGGCCAAATGTAAGCGCTATCGATACTTTAATGATGCTGAATGTGAATGACTGTTATAACGATGGTTGGGGTAGCATGCGATCGCCAACTTGAGTTTGTCACAAAAGACAGACTGTCTGTTATAGCGTTTTCTGAAAACAGAGCTGTCCTCGCCAACTCAATAGCCACTGCCCCTGCTGCTGCTAGCTCCTGTTTGCAAATGACTTTATAGAAGTTTGCTAGTGTCCGAAAGACAATTTTAGAAGCTTGTTAAGCGTTAACCGGTGGTTTGTATTGATTATATTTGCCAGAATTGAACTTTGAATCGATCAATACTCGCCCCTTACCTGGTTCATATGGCATGTGCTTGCGTATATTATTTTACGGACGCCCTGTTGTACGGTTATCTGGTCTGCAATGACAATCACTGTTTACCCATAACCTAGGAGGGGAGAGTCTTAGAAGAATAAGGGCAAGTTAACTGCCAGAAACTTCCTTTTAATAGCTGTGTTTCGATGTAATCTTACTAATTACTTTGCTGCGCCTTGCAGAAAAGGAAGTCGTAGAACTAAGCCTTTGTTTTCTGCAGTTGCGATGACGGGCATTTGACACACCCCCTAATATTCCGAATGACAAATTTACATATATACCCGTTTCTATGGAGTGTGTTTTGCAGCTGATGGAGTTCTTATTTAACCGTTCCGTGAAGGTAGATACCTCGGATTTTATTCGCATAGTCTTAGACCAGATTTCATTTTAGATCTAGTGGAATAAAGCAGTGTATAAATCATATTGTTCCTTGCAGGTCTTCACTCGAAATGTTGAATCCCAGGCGGGTGGGATTGAGGTGACTAACGAGAGCACATCGAATGACACATCACCTCGTCAGTCTCGACGTCAA